GCTGTGCTTTGCTGCTGGGAGAGAAAGGTGGTGAGCTGGGCTGGGTGGGGAAGGGTTAGGCTGAAATGGGCTGGGGTTTTAGTCTGGCTTTGACTCCTCAGCACTGGAAACAACCTTATTTTGTGGTTCTTCCCCAATCACCCCATGCTGTGCCTGCTGATGTGTCTGATTGGGGTTGTCTTAGTTTGAACTGCAAGGTTGTTGGGACAGAACCTCCCTGTTCTTACTGTGCTTTGTAACCTGTCAAAATCAAGACAATACCCTGATTTCCCCAAACTTAGCTCCTCTTGCACCTCATTTCAGAACCTTCTCCAGAGCAAAGCTGCCTTTGCTACCAAAATCCTGGTTCCTCTTTTTTTTTGTGGTTCCCCCCCCCTCCCCAGTACGTTCAGAAGTGCCTTGATGCTGTGACATCTGAAATACTTCCTGTGCATGTGCCGTGCTGCCTTTGCTAGATAAGCAATAGCTGTTCCCTTTTACAGCAGGCACATCCCTTCCTGAAGAGGCAGATGTGGAATGTTTTCCCTGGGAACAAATATTTGCTGCTTTGTAATTACGGCACCTTAATTTTGCTTCTCTTTCCTTTCCAGCACAGCGTGTGTGTGATTAGAGGCTACTGATGTCTTCAAAGAGGGGGGTGATGATGCCACACTCTTGTTCCTGTTTTGGGGCAGGATTTCTGCTTTAGTTTTCCCTCCATGCTGGTTTTGTGTAGGCTGAGCAGAACTGATAGAGAAATGAAACTAAATCTGAGCTTTGGTCACGCTTGTAAATGCAATTTGTGTGTTGATTTTTTTTGTTGTTGTTTCTTGTTTTTTCAGGAGTTGCTCAGGAAGATAGTGTGCAAGAGGAATGGAAGAGAACGCTGGTGAGTACCCTTGGATGTCTTACAAAGCACAGGTTCACAACCTGTGTTTCCTTGGTCAAGTATCATAAAGAACCTGATGACTTTAAACTTGGTCTCTTCGGCTGAAGTGCAGAAGGTGATTGGAAAATCTGGTTTGGCAGATGCATCAATTGTACTGTGGCGTGGACCAGATCTGATTTGAAGCTCTGTTGTACATCTGGAAGATGTTTTTTTTTGAATTTCCCATCTCTGAAACCTGGAATACAAGTCTCTTGGCCATCCCAAGCTCTTGAAAACAAGTCACGTCCCCTTTCTTAGCAGGGAAGAGTCAAAAGCAATGAGCTGGTTTGAACAAGCCATAAAAGAGGATCAGTTCATGGTTGCTCTTGAGTTCTTTTTGTGTATTTATTTCTTTAGGCTGTTCTGTCTTGCAATAGATACAGGATTTCTTTAATTAAAATTTGGCTTTAAAGCTCTTGCTTTAGGCACTGTGTGCTGCTTGCCCTGAGGCAAGTAAACTCATCCCTGGTAGGTTTAACTGATGGAAGGATATGGCTGTAACTAAAACTCACAGATTTTTGGCTTAGAGATTGCCTTGAATAGCTCTTCCATCTGTTTGCCTAAAATGGGACCAAAAAATCAGTTAAGTGGCCATTTTTTCCCTACTATTGACACGAGATTTGCATGAAAGCTCTTGCCTGCACCGTGGGAAACCAGTTTTGAAGCATATTGACCTCACATCTTCTGGACTGCGGTGCTGCAGTTGGTGTCTTCTAACTCATAAATATTATTTCTGGATTATTCTGTGTGGTCAGATGATGCCATCCTGAAAACCCTGGGAATGGATGTATTTGTCAGCAGGGCAGGGGTGCTTGGTGGGGCAGATGAAGGCCAGTTTTTGGCTTCTTACTGAGCTGGTCTGGTGGAGTCCCATGGCCTGGCTGGACCAGCTGGGAGTTCTTGCCTAAAAACATGTTGTGCTTACAGTCCTGGTGGCAAGAACTGCTGTTGTGCCCTCTAATTGTCAGCCTGTAAGATGAACATTTAACCTGGGGTGGTTGCTTTCCCTTCTGATTTGCTTGTGGCAAACTAATCCCAAGTGATGACTTCTGGAGGTGGAGGAGGCTGAAGTGAGTGTGGCACTGGCAGCTGAGATGGGAGCAGTGACTGTGGAGGTGGCAGCTCTCATCAGCCCTAGGACAGAGCACAGGCAGAGCAGGGCCACTTTCCATCTCTCCAGCCTGAATTACTGGAATGGCTTTGAGCAACATCAAGGCCGGTTTGGATGGGGCTTGGAGCAGCCTGGTCTAGTGGGAGGTGTCCCTGCCCACAGCAGGGGGTGAAACTGGATGATCTTCGAGCTCCCCTTCCAACCCCAAGCAGCCTGTGATTCCATCAACACCGAGCTCTGCTGGTTCCCCAGGTCTCAGCCCGTGCTGGGGCTGCCAGCAGCCAGCTGTGTTCATATCACAGAGCTTCGTGTCCCACTTTATGTGCAGCTGAACCCCATTTTTGGGGTAGAGCACAGAGACACAGGGCTGGAGCCTGCTGAGGTTTACTGCAAGCTTTAACTCCTGATTTGAGCAGTGCTGGTGCCCTGGGATGTGCAAAGCCTTATGTTCTGTTTGCATTTTGCCAGCTTAAGTAACGTTACCTCCCCTTTCCTCTGAACTACTTGAGCTGTGCCAGTTTGGGATGGAGTATCTGCACTGGATCTTTGCATGCACAGACACCCCACACAGCTGGTTGAGAAGCTTTCTGTGTTGCCTCCTTAATTGCTGGGGGCCAAAAGCTCCACATTAAAGGCAGAATAAGCAGATGGGTCTTCTGTTATAATTTCCTTAAAATTCCTTTGCTTTTAAGGACTCTCATTCTCCAAGTGCTGCTAAGCTCAGGACTCTTGATCCCGGAGATGAGGTAAGGCAGAGCTGAGCTGAAGTCCGTGCCCTTTGTTCCCTCCGAGCCTGGTGCTGTGGATGTACTGCTGTCCTTCCCTGGTTGGATATTAACTGCACTCAAATGCTGCATGGCTGGCGCTTGTTTGAGCTGGTGTGCTTGGAATGGCCACTGGGAATGCGCAGGGAAGCATAAATCCTTTAGAGCTGTCAGGCTTCACTAGCCATGGGTGGGTGGGGGAGCCCTCCTTGGCTGGCTGCCCTGGCTAATTAAAAATGAAATTTGCTGTTGTCTTCAGATTTTTAATTCATGCTCATCCCCGAGGACGAGTGGAAGCAAGGGCTGCAGGCAGCTGCAGTGAAGTTTCAGAGCTTGTCTATACATGGTTTTTTAGAACAGGTGTGCAGCTTAAAATGTGCTTTCAACCCTGCCCTGGGTTGTTTTTCAAGTGTAGAGGAGAATATACAGAAAATTCAGGCAAATCTTGGGACGTGGCCCCGGGCAAGTGACTGTAAGTTAAGTTGCTACATATGGCAATGGCCTTAAGCTGATGGAGGGTGGTCTTGGATGGGATATTAGGAAGAAATTGTTCCCTGTGAGGGTGGGGAGGCCCTGGCACAGGTTGCCCAGAGAAGCTGTGGCTGCCCCATCCCTGGAAGTGTCCAAGACCAGGTTGGATGGGGCTTGGAGCAAGCTGGGCTAGTGGAAGGTGTCCCTGCCCATGGCAGGGGCTGGGACTGGATGGACTTTAAGGTCCCTTCCAACCCAAACTATTCTGGGATCCTGTGTCAGGTCTCTGCAGTGCTGCCCCCGAGCAGTCAGTGGAGCTGGGGCAGGTGGGAGGATGGAGGTTTGGGAGAGGAATAAATGAAATCTAAATATACACACACTGCCAGGCCCAGCTTCCTCAAAGTCCCACCTACACAAGGGTTCTCTTGAAGGGAAATGTCAGTGGAATACCTTTCCCCTCTTCAGATCCTTCCTGTGGTGCGGGTGAAGGATCACACTCTATTTTCGGAACCTGTTTCCGCTGTTCCATCTCCTGCCTGGGCCCCCTCCCAAGACCACTCACTCACCTTCCCATGATCTGAGCTAGGTCTGGACCTTTCTCTTAGTCAGGGGATTGTGTTCTCTCTGGTATTTCATCTGCCTGTGAGATCTTAAAAAGCAAAATATTGAAGAAGTGGGAGCTTTGTGCTTGGCAGGGTGAGACTCACCTCGTGCCTGTGGTTCCTTGAAAGCTCTGCTGCCGTGTTGGATCCACCTAAAGTGGGATCAAACCTGCAGTTCACCTGCCCAGTAATGAGCAGTCACTAATGAACAGCCTTGGAGGGAGCCTGGGATGCCTTTTGTGATGGGAGGTGTTTGCTGTTGGGTCCTTTGACCTGCTGTACTCTGGTGCTCTGTTGACAGTTTCTGCCTGTGCTTACACACTTCATCTGCAGGTATTGGGATAGGAACCTTTTAGTAGTGTCCCTAAAAGGTTTAAATCCCAGTAGGACAACTGTGAAGCATTTGGGGAAATTAGTGGAGTAGCCTTTGCACACACAGGCTCCAACCCAAAGCTGCTTTTTTAAAATAGCACTTGAAATACTGAGTTTATGGATGCTTTAAGAATCTTCTGCAGTTACTGCTTTATACCAGGCTGACTTTCATCCCCGTTGACTTTCATCCCCTTTATCTCCTGCTGTGCTACTTTTTTTTTTCCCCAATTCTTTTCCTACTAAAAATAGGAAACACTCTTCAAGTCCTTCACCTTTGTGCAAACAAAGAAGTAATTTGTTTTAGCATCTGAGCTGACTCCTGGGCTACATGCCTCAGAAGGAAACCAGTGTGATACGAATCTGCTGCTTCTGGAGGCATGGACTCCAAATATAGTCTGAGTAGGGGAAAGGGCTGGAAATGGGAGTGCTTAGTTCTTGTGCCACCAGCTCTGCTGCTTTTTCCCAGCAGGATGCCTGGCTGGATACCCAGTTCCCATTTTTATCCCCAAAAATCAGAGCTGTATCGTCAGATGCTCAGAGGTTCAAAACCACTGTGGGAACCCCAGAATCTCGGAATGGTTTGGGTTAGAAGGGACCTTAAAGCTCATCCAGTCCCACCCCCTGCCATGGGCAGGGACACCTTCCACTAGCCCAGGTTGCTCCAAGCCCTGTCCAACCCAGCCTTGGACACTTTCAGTGGTGGGGCAGCCACAGCTTCTCTGGGAAATCCTTTCTAGCCCCTGACTACTCTCAAAGGGAGGAGTTTCTTCCCAGTATCCCCTGTGTCAGTGGGAAGCCATTCCCCCTTGTCCTTTCCCTCCAGGCCCTTGCCCAAAGTCCTTCTCCAGCTCTCTTTGAAGCCTTTTAGGCACTGGAATAAAATTATTCCAGAATAAAAGAGTAGGTTTTTCTTCCAGGAAGACACAGAAGCTAGTGAGTTCCCTCTGAGATCCTGGATGTTGTGTGTACATGTGATAACAGCACAAGAGCCAAAGTGGCCAAACTGCCTGAGATCAGCCCTTTAATTACAGTTGATGTGTGCTAATTTGCAAGCAGGCAGAAAGGCAAATTCCTACTGTTCCTTAGGCAGATCTAAAGGGAGGAACTGATGGATAGACCGTTTGACTTTTAAACAAGGTGCAGAAGCACAAGGTGCTTACCTGCATGAAAGCCTTACTGTAAATAAGTCGAGTGCACTTGACAAGCCAGCAAAATACTTTGGGACATTATCCTGACAGCCTTTTGTTCTTAAATTTGCTCTAGTTCTTCGTGTAATTAATGTGCTGAGTGCTGTCAGGGTGCTTGGGGCACTCTACTGGGATGTCAGTGCTGGTTTTCTTCCTGCTGCATTTGCAAGTGGTTCAGCTCAGCCATCCATCCACTTGGTGTGGCATTTTATACCCAGTAATTTCCCCCCTGAACAACTTGAGGAGGTGTCTGGATTTCTGCTGCCTTTCCCTCCCGAGCTAAGAGCCAAATGTTTTACAGAGATGATTTGCTGACCCGCCAGAGACCTCTTAATTCCGTGACGCCCCATTTGGAGTGACTTTTGGAGCTGTTGTGGTGAATGGCTGTGTAGTTTGTACCCATATCTCTATGCCTAGGGGAAAGCAGAGGTTAATTCTGCTGTTTTTGTGGTTTTGTGGCTCAGCTGTGGATGTGCTGGGATGGAGGTGCTTTGGCCTCCAGGCTGGAGCAAGACAGTAGCAAAGGCTGATGCTGAGTGAGAAATGTCGTGTTTGCTGAAGTGTTTCGAGATTGAATTGAACGATCTTGTTCCTTGTGTGAAGAGATAAGACCTTGTAGGACACATAGTCAATCCTTGGGGTAATTCAGGGCAATTCCCTGTGAAACAGTGAGTTGTGGAGCTCCTGTGGCTCAGTAAGTAGGACATGGAGCAGGGCAGGCACAGGTTTCCAGAGTTTCTGGTTTTAATTTTCAACTTGTTGGACCTTAAATTCACCTTGCTCCTGGAACATTGCCTGTAAGTTCTGTCCAGGGACTCTAGCAGCTGATTTTATTGGGGTTGGGGGTAGAAGAGGAGCCTGCCTGGAACCAGAGGCAAACAGATTTAATATAAATGAAGTGATTTTTTTGTTGTTTTTATTACTGGTTCTTCACACAGCAGCAATGTGTCCAGACTAAGTGGCAAACCTGCCCTTTTAAAAACAAAAATACTGAATGTTCTCATTACTTCGCTGCCTTTGTGAGCCGTAAATGGGTGTTAGCTGAGCTGTTGGCTGGACAAAGCTGCTCCCAAGCGCCCTGGGGCTGGTGCTGAGCTTCGAACACTTGAATTTTGTCACTGCTAATGTCACCACTTTTATCTGTTTGGTTCCCATTTGCCCTGGAAAGGAGCCTGGCTCTGGTTGCTGAAGGTGTCTTTTGTCTCCTGAAACAGAACCCAGAGGTCTGGGGGTGGCTTTATTCCAGGCTGGACCCATCCAGCTGTGATGGGACCCAGTGATAACTGTGACTTGCTGGGGGAGAACATTGTTCTTCAACCCAGCCTGGGTTTGCCTTTGGTTTGTTAAGCAGAGATTTTAAGATTTCCAAAGGGTTTACTGTCTGGGTTGTCATGAAAAATACCAGTTGCTAAAATTTCCCCTCACAGATCTGCTCAGCCTGTGGGGTGCTCAGGCTCTGCGGGTTCTCAGCTGAGCCTTGCAGGTTTAGGCTCAGTAGCGGGTCCTGTTGCCTCTCAGAGCCTGTCTTAAAGCCGTGTAAGATAAAGTTTTGTGCCCTGGTGTAACCCACAGGCACGATTTCCTTATCGTGGAATCATTTCGGTTGGAAAAGCCCTCGGCGTCCGAGGGTCTGTCCCGTGAGGGGCCGCGGCCGCCAGGGGGCGCTCGGGCCCGGCCCGAAGGCGGGTCGGTGACAAAGGGAGCCGGGACGGGACCCGGGAATGGGATCGTTCTGGCCGGGATTAGATGGGATATTGGGGAAAATCCCTTCCTGTGAGACCCTGGCACAGACTGCCCAGAGAGACTGTGGCTGCCCTGTCCCTGGGAGTGTCCAAGGCCAGGTTGGACGGGGCTTGGAGCAACCTGGGCTAGTGGAAGGTGTCCCTGCCCATGTCCCTTTAAGGTCTCTTCTAACCCAAATAATTCTGAGATTCTGTGAAATGCATTTCAGTAGGATATTTCCCTGCAAGAGCAGGGCCCTGGGGTGCTCCCTCTTTTGTGGGGAAAGAAACAAACCATGAAGGTGCAGCCAAGCAGTGGCCGTGCACATCGGGGAGCCGAGGGAATGGCTGGAGCTGTGTCAGGGCAGGCTCAGGTTGGATCTCAGGGAAAGGTTCTTCCCCCACAGGCTGGTTGGGCACTGAACAGGCTCCCCAGGGCAGTGGGCACAGCCCCAAGGCTGCCAGAGCTGCAGGAGGGTTTGGCTGATCCTCTGGGGCACAGGGGGTGACTCTTGGGGATGGACCTGGGGAGGGCTGAGGGTTGGACTGGATGGTCCTTGGGGGTCCCTTCCAGCTCAGCACATTCTGGGATTCTGTGACTTTCCTGGGCAGTGCAGTGGGGTCTGATTGAGCACCACGTCAGGCTTAGTGCCAGCATAATAAGACTGGCCTAATTGGTGTAGCACATGCACACGAAAAACCTCCCTCTGCACTTGAAAAGGTGGAATTTAATAACGCTCTGTGCTCCATATAAGAATCCCGTAGAAAGTCACATCCTGGGTTCCTGTTCCTTGCTCCCCCGCGGGCTCGGAAGCAGCTCTGTACTGTTTGCTTTGTGTGCTTTCCCTTTCCTTCCCCAGCCCGGCTGCATCAAGGGACTTGTTTCCAAGGTTTCCAAGGTGAGGTGAGCAGCGAGTCATGGTTTGGCAAGGAAAACCACTCCTGGAGGCTCCGTGGTGATCCCGGCACATCAACACCTTCTCCCCGGGAAGGCAGTTGGGCTGAGATTTGAGCCCGACCCTCGATCTTTGAGAGGACTGTAACCAACCTGTGCCGTGATTTTCATTGAAATTCAACCAAAAGATGAAAAAGCTGCCCTCCCCTCCCCCTTCCACCTCCAACCCTTTGATCTTAACAATAAATCTTGGAAACTTTAGTGGTGATTAGGAAAGCAAACACTGTCCCTTCCTGCAGGGCAGGCAGGAGTTTGTTCTTGCCAAGCACTGGGCGTTGCAGGGGTTAAGTTGCTGTTTATCTTTGGGGGAGGAAAGGAAAATCTCTCCCAAGTAATTAAGTGAAGATGCTGACGCTAATGAAGGGGCTTTCAAGGCCGGGACTGGTGGAGGGTGATGGGAATCCCCTGTTGAATCAATGACATTACGGCCTTAGGAGTGATTCCGCAATTATTAGGCTGAAATGATGTTGAACATGAAGTTAATCCTGTTATCTCTCAGATATTGAGCAAACTGTGTGCTCTGGATAACTCTGTAATGGGATTATAGGAGTCAGTGTGGCACCCTTGGCACTCCCTATCTGTCCAGGGCTCTTGCTTATTTTCCTGGTCAGGATAATGTATTGGTCGGGCCTCCTACAGTTAATTTTGGGAGGCGGTGTCTGGGGCAGTGTTTTCCAGCTCTTTTTTTAACAAATTAATTTGATAATGAACACCCTGTTGCCTCCTGAAGCCATTCACTCCTGCACTGGGAAGATCCCTTGAGCCCATCCCTAAATAAATCTTTAGGAAAAGAACTGAAGAACAAGGACAAGTTTAAAAGGAGACTTCCCTGCGTCACACCTTCCTGGCATCAAGGATCTGCCGTTGAGTGAGTTCCTGTGGCTGAGACACAGTTCTGGGCCATCATATTTGCAGAGAATAATCAGCTCTGGTTTTGAAAGTCCCGTTTTGCATCCGTGATTGCCTGTGGTGATTTGTTCTAAACAAAAGTAGCTGGTGGGGGTGGGGGGTTTAAAAGGGATTATCTCGAGCTGGTTTTGAAGCAGTGGGGGGAAAAAATTACAAGTTAACCAGTGTCAGGAAAACCCGGGAACCAAAATGATCATGTTGGGAGGAGAGAGAAGAGCCATAATGCGTGTTCAGGCACTGGCTGGTGGTCAGTACAGATGGGTTTGTTTTCCTGTTGGGCACAGGCCTCCAGGTTTGAGTGGCCTGACTTCCAGGCAGGATTTGGATGAGCTGGAACAGCGACTTTCTCACTGCTGGGTCAAAGCTAGGACGGGTGGTTGCAGTGGGACAAAACACACAGTCACTTCAGACAACCACATGCAGTGGAGAGGTGAAGCCCCCCACCCCAGTGAGAACTAAATTTGGGTTTCAAAGTCATGGAAAACATTTTTCTCCCCCAACCTCTGCTCAATTACCACTAAACCAGGCCTCTTGCTTTCAGCATCACTACAGAAGTGATTTCTACAACACCCACTAAACGAGCAGATGTTTTTGTGCCAAACCAGAAATTTCCATAAATATGGGAAAGTTCCATTATTAAATGGCCAGTCAGCTTTTAGTTTCCATGCTTTGATTCTTTTTGTTTTAAAGACTGATCTCGTTAAAAAACTGCAGATTTTTTTTGGTGAGCTTTTATTATTATTTTTTCCCTACTCCTTTGAGGAAGCTGAGAATTGTTTTGGAAGCTCCAAGGAGTTCATTTCCAGCAGAAATGGGCTTTGGGGTTGTTAATGACTCTGTGTCTGGGCTGCCTTAAAGAAGGCAGTGTGAGAACATGGGGGCTGGCGTAGCCAAGGGGCCACCTAGGATTTTTATGCCCAGTTTAAGTGCCCAGGGGCCAGCCAGCCCTGCTGCTGATAAGGTGATGGATTTTAGATGTCATTGTTGTAACCTGTAATTCCAGGGAGCTTGAGGGAAGCCCTGGGATAATTCTCACACCCAGGGAGTTGGTGCCTTCCATGAGCTTTTTGAGATGGGAATCCAGCACCAGAGCAAACTCCTGATTTCAAATCTGAAGTGCACAGAGGAGTGGTTTAATATTTATGTTTATACACCCTATTTTCTGTACACCATATTTGTACTCCAAGATATCCTTGCTGTAACTGCTCTTGAGGAATCCTCTTACTGGAGCCATGGATTTCAACTTCCCTTCATGGACTTTTGAACATGGATCTGAGTGTTTTCCACTGTTTTTCTCAGTGGCTTCTCTTTGAACTTCTTGTAGATCTTGCTTGTTCTTCCTGCAAGCTGAAAACCTCTGAACTTGAGTTTTGCTGTCTGGTATGTCCTAGATCTCGAGCAGGGAGAGGTTGAGGAGTTTGTGCTGATACTCTCCTGTCAAATCTTTGTCCCTAATCAGCAGCATTCCCTCTGAGGGTTGGGAAGTGTGTGCTGTACCTTCACAGGGCCATGGGGTGCAGAGTGGAGCTCCGTGGGTGCCATCACATCATCCTTTGATCCCAGCCTCTGTCTCAAGGTGTTTCATTCAGGTGTGAGGCTCCCTAAGGTTGCCCTGGAGCAGGAGTGGGGTGTATCCTGCTCTGCCCCTCTGTCCTGGGGGTTCTGTGCATCCAGGTGAAGGTGGGACTGCAGCTCCCACCAGGCTGGCTGGGAGCTTGTTTGCTGACATCCTTGAAATAGTCGTGTGCTGTAACTCTTATGCTGCAGAATTTGTCTGGGAGGGTGAGTAAATATTTGAGGAGCTCGCCCTCCCCAAGCTCAGGGCTCTTCAGCAGGGGGTTTGAGCTGCTGCTTCAAAGCCCTGCCAAGTGGGACGAGAGGGAAGCGTTATTTGAGTGTCTCAGAACCCTTTTTTTTGGCTGCTCTTTTGGTGTGGTCACTGCTGATGCTCTACAGGTGCAGGAGGAAGGGAACGAGGTGAAATCCTGTGAAATGAGGAATCTGGGAATGTGTGAAGGGCCGTGTGTGCAAGAGGGGGAGCAGCTCAGGGAGAAACAGCTTCCTCCGAGGTTAGATCAGCTGTTGGTGTTATCTCATCTCTTGACATTTCCTTTAATTATATGAAACGACCTTGACACCGTAAACAATTCCCATGGCATTGTCTCTGCACTTGTGAGTCAGAGTGATGTGTAAACAGCACTTGGTTTGGGGGACCCGGGGTCTGTGTGGCCTGGGACACATTTGGCACATCTGATTTTCGTGCCATGGCTCTTGGTGCCACCCTCTTGTTTTCCCAAGGCATCTGGTGCTGGCACAAAACAGGAGCATCTGGGCTGGGATTTCAGGACCATCCTAAGGGGGGTGCTCTCCTTTTGCTTTTCCTTTGTGCCTCCATAAAAGTTCCAAAGGTGTAGGGGGCGGGAAGGGGCTGTTTCACAACACAACCCCTGTAAATCACGTTACCAGCAGTCTTTTACTCGTGTTTCTGTTTTCAGCCTCGCTGCTGCTCAGAGACACCTCAGTGGTTGAGCAAGAGTCAATATTTGAGGAGTTGAGGTTGAGGTTCACTCACTGTCTTGCTGATGGTTCTTGTCTGGGTGTGACCCGTGGTCTGGTCCTGCCAGTGTTTAGGGTGGCCCATGGTAAATCTATGAAACATCACTTGGCCAGATGCACTTCCTAAGTGTTATCTTGTTCCTGAAATAGAGAATAAAGCCTGTATCAACATGAATCACAAAGTTGATAAACTGGAATGGTTCCTCTTCGAGTCGTCTTCTTGTATTGGGCAAATATTTATCCACATTGTTTCCAAAGGCATATTTGTGCAATAGAAGGAGGTCAGACCTGTAATTACCTGTTAGATTTACTCTGGCAGAAATGGCTTGTAAAAACACAGTACGTTTGAAAGGAAGCTTTTAAACCTCCTCTCTGTGTGTGAACCTGAAGCTGTGGTTTAAAATTTCAGATTTTATGAGAGTTTTCAGTTGCAAAAAGTATTTTCCTTGCCGAATTATAGTACCTCGACCCAAACTGATCCGCAGTTTCTTTTAATTCTGTGAGCTGTGGCAGGGAATTTGGGTTTCTCTTCCAGCTGTATCTGCTGGAGATGATCAGAAGCTGGGGTTGTGTGCCGGACTTGCCTTGCATTTTAATCAGGAGCTTCTAGTCTGGTCAATAATTAAAGCCGAGCAGGTGCGGTGGGGAAGTTGGGTGTTCCCCAAAAACTAAACCAAGGCGCTTTTGTTGGTCTCCCAGGGCAGAGCCAAGCGAGTGAGGGGCGGTGGGATGCCCTGGCACTGCCTGGCTTGTGCAGTAACTTGGAAAAAATGTAGTTCAGGCTGGAGAGCTGTAGGTGTTGAAGGGTAATTTGAATTATTGGTGTGGCGTGGCTGCTGCGAGTCCGTTGGGGCAGCAGAGCAAAGATGTTTTGCTGCAGTTTCAGCTCTGGGTACGAAGAGCGAACGCACTCGCTGAGAGATTTTTTGTGAAACGTTAAAAAGAGGAAATGACTTTTACAGAGAAATCGTGCTGCCTTTCTTTTTGGTTGGTGTGTGTGGGCAGAGAGGCTTGTAGCTGATTTCTTAGAGGATTAGAGGTAGGAAGAGAAATTGGGGATGCGGGTTTTAATGGATCAGAACCTGTGGAGTGTGACCTACACATTGCAGACTAACTTACAGAGTTACAGTGCTACCCCTCCAGGTTAACTTCAATTTAATCTGATTTTAGAGGTTTAATATTTAGGGATGTTCTTGCTGTTAACTTGCAGTCTCCAGCTGGGCTTAACAGAGTTTGTCCCATTGGTTTTATAGGTGGCATAGATGGACTTACCTCTGCTGAAAGACTCGAGTTTTTGCTGCAGGAAAGGGTTAAACAGGAGTTGACCTAAAATGCCATTCCTGTTTCTTCTCTAAACAGTGCAATAATTAATGTAATTTTCTCCTCTGTGTTTTTGTTTTATGTGCTCCTAATAATATAGCTGGAAGTGGCAGATGGGTATCCTGCCTCCGAGTGCTTCGCTGTTGGGAATACGCTGATGCTTTGCTGGAATGTCTCCTATATCTGTGCTCCCTTTGGCTTCTGACCAGAGCTTCTCTTTAATGCTGCTTCAAGGTGCTCCAAAAAGTCGTTTGTCAGCTTTGGAGGTTCCCTTGCCTGGAGATGGCAAAGCCATGAATCACCGTGGTGATGGAGTTAGCCAAGATGTGACTGAATCTTTAATTTTGTCAGGGTTGCATTCCTTAGCATTCCCTCCCTGGTAAACAAGAAAATACGTGGCCTGTGTTGTAATTGCAGTGAGTGGTGAGGAGGCATCAACGTTTCCAGTACTGACTGAAATCTGCTTCCATTGGAAGTTGTACTTCCACTGGAAAACAAGGCTGGGGGGTATTTTGGCCTTAAGCTCCTCTGGGCCCAAAGACCAGTTTAATTCACTATTTTTTTTAGCCCATTCCTTGGGACAGTGAAGCAATTCCTTGTGATCTGTGACCAAGGGGCTTTCCAGGAGCACGGCCTCCCCTTCCCAAAGGTGGGGCTGGAAGTGCTGTCAGCCAGCTCCTTGGAGAGCAGTGCCCTTCCTCCAGCTGTGCCCCATCCCAGCCAACATCTGGGCTGCTGTGGGACGTGGGCTGCTCACCTTCCCCACCACCAGCACGTGGGTGGTGGTTCCTGGCGTCCTGGATCCGCTGCCCTTTGCTGTCTGGGATGGAGCACCGTGCTGACTAACTGGTGGGGACAAGGGGCCTGGAATGCTCTGGGAAATAGGAGTTTCCCTTCTTGGAAATGTCACAGGAAGCGTGGAGGAAATCATGTGCCGTAGGAGCGGTTACCTCACATTTCTGTCTCATCCAAACCCAGCGCCCTTTCCATCGGAGTCCGTGGGGCCTGAACAATGCGGTGCCAGCTGCCTTATAAATAACCCATTTTCCACTTCCACACCGGCTTTTCATTCCATGTGAGGGGAAAGGAAGAGCGTCACGTTGTGTTGGTTTGTGCCCTTTCAGAGGGGAGCACGTTACTGATTCCCCGTGCTCTGTTTTAGTGTCAGAGCACAGCCCAGAAATGGTCATTGCCGTGGCCACCCAGCGCTGGTACGTGTGTGTATATATAATATTTCTTCATCCGTGTTCTTGTTCTGCCAAAGCTGAACACAAAAACTGTGGTGAAACCAAGCTGATCAGAGGGCTGGAGCAGCTCTGCTGTGAGGAAACACTGAGAGAATTGGGATTGTTCAGCCTGGAGAAGGAAGGCTCCCAGGGTGACCTAATTGTGGCCTCCCAGTGCCTGAAGGGAGCTACAAGAAAGATGGAGAGGGACTGTTGACAAGGGACAGGGCAGGGGGGAATGGCTTCAGACTGACAGGGCACGGTTAGATGGGATATTGGGAAGAAATTCCTACCTTTGAGAGTAGTGGGGAAATAGAATGGATTTTCCAGAGGAGCTGTGGGTGTCTCACCCCTGGAAGTGTCCAAGACCAGGTTGGATGGGCTTGGAGCAACCTGGGCTAGTGGGAGGTGTCCCTGCCTGTGGCAGGGGGTGGAAAAGGATGAGCTGTAAGGTCCCTTCTACCTGAAACTGTGCTGTGATTCTGTGAAATGCATTTCTGTAGGATATTGCCCTGCAGGAGCAGGGCCCTGGGGTCCTCCCTCCTGGTGAGGTGATCCCTGCGTGAGGATTCCAGGTGGGTGCAAGGAAAGAGCCTCAAACACCCTGTAGCTCCTGCAGACTCTGGCGATGGGGCTCTGAGGGAAAACACCCCAGCACCACTGGTATTAAATATCCAGCTCCGTGTGCAGGGGTTGGGATGATGCTTGGGAGTGCTTTTTAATGTTCCTGTGGCTGAATCATGGAACACCGAGGGCTGAGTCACCGCAGGTGAATGCGGCGATTCACGTCGGGGTGAACCCCAAATGGCAGCAACACCAGCTTCGTTAGAGGAGCTAATATTGGGCTCATTATGGGCTTCATTAGATTTTGAAGGGAAACAATCTAAGAGAGTTCCTTTTGCAGTGTATATAAGCAGATTATTAGCATGGGAATGCCAGGGGTTTAATGGGATGCTGGGCTGCAGAGGAAATGAAACTTCGGGTGTACCCCAGGTTTTGGGTGTTTATTGCCCGTCCTGTTTTGTTTTAACCATCTGACTCTCCTGAAATCCAATAAAATTCATGTAATTGGGTTTTTTCTTGCTATATTTTAGAAAAAAATGCTGAAGGGACAGTCAGCTGTTTCCCTTTTTGCTTTCCTTTAGAAAGCTCTTTGCAAATCCAGGCTTTTCCTCTGATGAAGGTCTTCACCTGTCCCTGAGGAGCAAAAGATTTGCTCTGGTTTCTTCTGGTTGCTGTTCAGCCAAATCAAATGGTCCTTCTCATTATTATGGCTATTTTGGACATTTATTGCTCCTCCTTGCCTTGAAATGTTGGCTTTCCTTTATCCTGGGTGTCCAGGTGGACGAGGGCAGGTTGCTTTGTCCCGTATTTTCCCCCAGCACTCTGGAAGCAGAGGGTTCATTGGGAGCAGAGCTGCTCTCGCCCTCTGTCCTCGGGCTACAGTTGAGGCAGGAACATTTTTTGGTGGTGTTGTGTCTGCTGGGGCAGAGTTTGCACCTCTCCTTCCAGAGGTGGAGCTGAAGGATGGACTGGCAGGTTTTTCTGGCCAGGAGTTCCACCTTGAAAATAACGATGCTGGTGACACTTCTGGATTTTTGCTGTTTTGTGCACTTTATCAGCTCTCTTCTGGTGGGGTTTTTTGTTCTCTCTCCCTCAAAGAGGAGAGAGTTGTGGCTGATACTCCTGAAGGATGCTGGAAGTCCAAGCCAGATGTGATTCGAAATGCAGATTTGTGTCTCTGTATTCACTGAGCACCACAGCCCTGAGTTGGAGAAGGAAGTATTAATACTTCTGGTACAAACTTTTGCCAAATAATCCTGTTACTCTCTTTGTGGTTGTCTTTTAAGGCCTGATGAAGGATAGAGAAATGGAGAGGGACTTTATTTCACAGCCTGGTGAGTTCCTGTGTGGAACCAGAGCCTTGAGTAACTGTCGTGCATCTCTTGGACTGCAACCACTGTGACTTTAATGCATTTAAATAAATCTTTTATTGAAATTTAAGCTAATTTTCATGTCTTACTAATACAGAGGTAAAGGGTCAGAGATAGGATTGTGCTCCTGTGCTTTAACAGCCTACCACATGTCATCTGTTCTGCAGCAGAGCTTTGTGCCCTCTGAATTTCACAGCAAATGCCTTATAAAATGCAATGCCTTTAACTCCTTGGAAGCCAAGCAGGTTTAGATGCAGCGTTCTGTAGCATTCCCAGCTGCAGGGATGTTTTTTCCAGACCTCCTTCCAAGCTGGAGCAGCTGATTTACAGACTTGGAGAAATCTTCCCGCCTCTATCTCTGACCTTTGTGGGTCTCCCTGCCAGATGGCAGCGAATTTAAATGGCTTTTAAATGGCTTTTTCTTTGTCTCAAAGCAAAAAGTCTTCATTGAGGTGGAGCATTCCTGGGAATGCTCACAGTGGAGATCAAAAGTGCTTGGAAGGGTGGCTGTGGCTGAGCAGACAGAACCACAGCACGGAGATGTCCGTGGTGGGAGGTGGAGAGGAGCAACACTTCCAGGAATGTCCGTATTCCCTGTGGGAGGGAGGACAGTGCTATTTGCCATCCGCCTCCATGAGTCTGCTGATCCCCTGCTCCTCCACCTGCTCCTGCTGTCCATGGGATGGGGGATGTCCTCAGCAGCAGGGATTGAGGACAAGCAGGATGCAGGTGGAAAGGGTGCCCAAGTGTCCTCCTTCCTCCCGCGCTTTTGCGGCTCTGCTTTGGAAGAGGAGGGGATTTGCAAGGTGCCTGTGGAGCTATTTGGTGTGTTAGTGGGGGAGCCAAGAGCACCAGGACTCCCAGGTGTGTTTGTGGCTCAGGTGAGGTGTTACCAGATTTCAGAGCTGCCCCTTGACCTGTTCTGGGGTGTTCCTGCAACGCTGCCTCCCCCCATCCATGGGGCTGGAACGGCGATCCTGTGGTGTTTGCTCTGGGCAATGAGCAGCATCGACTGTTCCCACCTGCACCAGCCCAAATCAGCATCTTGGACCTTGTTGTTTCCCAGAATAGATGGTTTTCCTGTTGGGATTGCTCCCTGGGTTGATATTGAAGTCCTGCTCCTGCTGCCCCAACAAGGACAGGGACACCGAGGGCTGCAGCAAATCCTGGTGTGGTTAAACCTGCCTTTTCCTACAGTGGGAAGGAGCCAACCTGGGTGTGTCACATGGGGTCAGATTCCTGGTTTTAATCCCTTTTATGCTGCAGCAAATTCCTGTATATTTTTGAAAATTGCTTTTCCTTCACCCCCCCAAGTTAAGATTGATAGTGAGGTGTACAGGGAAATGAGTTGTAAATTCACACAAGTCTTAACCCAGATTTCAGTGACAAATTAAAGGTTCCAAGTGGACATATTTAAACTCTGGAGAGCTTTGTTATTGTGATGTAAATGCTGAGGGGGATGTTTGTTTTCTGTTCGTGTGTCACAGCTTGATGGTTAAAGTAACAAACTCTTACTTTCCTTGTTAAATTTAAATTTCCCTTTGTTAAATTTAAATTAAACAAGGAGACACGCTGCCTGCTTCCTGGTAACTTTAGTGGAGAGGGGAATTGCTATGAAATTGTACTTTTATTATCCATCTGGCAAGATGCATATCAGCTCAGGCACTTTAAAATTCCCTTTGCTCTGGGATAGTGCAGCTCTCAGAGCACTTAGAGCACCGCCTGTGTCATCCCTTGTATTTAGAGGGCTCAGGTGGGGTGTTCTCTCTCTGATCCCGTTTTGGGAGGTGAAACCCCTTGGTTGTTGGATTCTCCTTGAGGAAAACACCCCGCTCTCCTCGCTCCCGGCTCTCCTCTCTCCTTGCTAAACTCGAGCGAGGGGTGTTGATAATTTGGATTATGCAGCTAAGTGGCTGGAGCGTGGCTGGCTGTCTCCTCCCCTTCCTGAGCTTCGGCCCTAGCCAGCTCGGCTCTGGAATGACAGGCATTCCTGCGTGAAGGGAGCTGGCACAGACACCTATTTATGAGCCTGGAGTGCCCGGCCATGGGGTCCGGGGAGAGCCGGGGCCGTGCCGGACCATCGCACACCGGAGCCGTGGCCTGAGCGCCAGGAGCCGCCTCGCTCACCGGGCTCCTTCCCAGCCCACGGCGTGGATTTATCGTTTTAAAGGACTGAAGCGCTCCCAGGGTAGAGTTTTCCTCTCTCTCTCTCTCTTTCTCCCCTCCCGCCTCTTTCCCCGGGAGCTGCTCAGGATCCCATGGGGCAGCCGCACTTCTCCAGACCGGTCAATCCAGCTGCTCCCGGTGAGTAATGGAGGGAACGCGGGGCTGCGGCGGGGCAGGAGCGCAGGTGAAACGGAGGAGTTGGGAGGAGTGGAATGCGGGGCTTGTGTAACCTGTGCCCGGCCGGGGAGAGAAACCCAGAGAGAAATAACTCCATTTCCTGCCTTTCTCCTGCTCGTGGCACATGCAACATGTTCCCTGATCCCCGGACAGACTCTGGGACGCTGTTTTTAGGGGTAGCCTCTGCCTGGCAGGGATTCAGGGATTCCACCTCTGCAAAGCACTTGGACAGCAGTAAAATTCACCTTCGTGGGGCAGGAGCCAGCCCTGATAGCGATCCCGGGCCAAAGGCACCCACAGTTGCCTCCTTGGGTGTGATGTCACCCAGTTTTGGGGGCAGCTGTTGCAGCATTGGGGGGAAGAAGGGCTTGGCAACCATCTCCCTGCTTGTTTTCCCTCTCCACTGTGAGGTATCTCAGTAACAGACAGCCTGGAGCAAACACAAGTGTGTTAAGCCCTGGAAGCAGCTCCACTTCCCGGACACAGTGTTATTCCAGGTCTGTCATGGGTGCTCTTCCCGGCACTGGCAGTGAGGAGACTTCGCCCATCCCGCTGTTCCCATTTCTCTCACCCCAACTTGCTGTCACCTGGCTGGGCTGAGTCGTTCACTCTCATCTGTAACGTTGGATAATCAGATTTTTTTTTTAGAGAAGCACTCAGCATTGGCACAAAACTGCCCCAGATACACATTATATTTTTTCGTTCTTTTAAACTTCTATAACTTCGAACCTACCTGGTATTTTCAGGGCTCAGATCAAACCAGTGATTCTCTTCCCCACCTCCAGTTCACTCCAAGTCTTGTTTGAGAGCTGCTAAAAATAAAGTGATAGAGAGAGGGGAAAGGAGACGTAAAACTTCAGTTGTCTTCATACTGTCAGTGCAGATTAACAGCATCTTCTCCTTGGATTTATTCAGTTAGAAGCCAACCTGGCCAGTCTTGGGCTTTTCTCTCATCAAGCATCAGTTAACAGTGGTAATTTCCAGGGGAGTGGGCTCTTGGTGTAATGACATTGTGCTCTGCCAGCAGACCTGGTGTTTTCTCAACTGGTCATTTGCTCTCTGAAGTCTTTTTTTTTTTTCATGGCCCAGCTCCCACAGTTCCTACTGATTAAATGGTGAACGTGAGGACGTGGTTCTTGCATTAACTGTGGCAGGATGCTGTTAAAAAGAGTCCTCTGAAGATTATGGTGATTAGAAAAGGACAAAACACAGGGAAGCCGAGGGCTGGGACTGTTTGGGGCTGTTTTGTGACCACAGCCTTTTATTGCTTTAAGGTCAGGATTCACGTCTTCCCTGGACCATTCAGGAAACGCACATCGAGTTTTTAAAGCTGTCATAGGAAGCTTGGAAACATTTGCCCCAAGTGCTTTTTGGATACTTTTAACAGCATCTCCTTCATAAGAGCCTTTGTTTGCTTTTTGAGTTGTAACTGTTTGCTTGGAAGCTTTTGGGATTCTCAACTGCTCTGCTGGGCACGACAGAGGGGGAAAAGGAGGGAAGCTGGGCTGCTCTCCAGGCTGTGCATCCACAGTGTGTTGGTGACAGGAGGGTTTGTGGCTGGGGGCTGTGATGGTCCTGGGGTATTCCTGGGGTACCTGAGGTGTGTAAGGAGCAGCCACATTCCCAGCAAAGCTTCCTGATGCACCTCCTGGGCTCGGGTGACAGCAGAACTGCAGGGAGGTTTGTTCCTTGGGGAAACAGAGGTGATTAAGCAGAGCTGTGTTCCTGAGGGAAATAAAGGTGATTAAGCAGAGTTGCTGCCATGGCACTGAAGTGCCTCGTTTGCCCCAAGACAGAGATGCCCAGTGAGCTCCTTGTGAGCAGAAACTCCTGGGATTTATGGAAATCCTGCACTAAGTCCTGTGAGAAGAGGTGGATCAGGTTCTGAGTGAACTGTGGCTTGCAGGTGGCAGGAATCTGGCCCAGGCTCATGACTTACACACTGTGCAAAGTCTGGCTACGCAGCAAAGTACAGATGTTTTCTCATTTCCTTTCTGAGGATGTCTCTTAATGAAGCTGGAATTTAGCAGCTCTTACATCTCAGAGAAGGACTGGGGCAAAGAGCCCGTTGTAGCACAGGCAGGGTGAGACACATCTTCATTTTGGAGTTAGACTTGGATGTCTGCAGAGATGTTCTGGGGAGAAAAGCAGCTTGTTCTCAGTCTTGTCCTAACAGCTCTGTTCTGCAGCCCTGTCCTGGGGCTCACAGACCTTTCACCCTTAAAGGATTGTGCCATTTTCCTCATGAACACTGGAAATCAGTAGTTTCCCTCCCAGGCATGTTCCAATATAATATGAACTGTCATCATCTGGGATGCAATTCTTTGATTTATTCACAGCCTTTAGCCTTGCTTTGTTGGGGTCTCTAACTCAGATCTTGAAGGGAGTTTTAGCTTGAGCAATGGTGTTAAAAACAAAACAAAACTTCTCCATAGTCAGGCTGGCTTTTGAGGGTGTGTGGCCTGAGTTAAAATAGTTTAAAAACTCACCAGGACTGATTCTGCACTAGATCCAGGTTGGGTTTAATTCTTTAACACTGTGCATCAGAGGTGCATTTCATATATATTCATTTATATTTCACGTAACTGTTTCAGGTGTTTTCCACATGAGAGATGATCCTTAATGAAATCAATGCTTTTTGGTTATTCCTGTTGGTCCCTAAACCCCTGCTGTACCTTTTTCCAGGCTGGCAGCGCTTTCCTCTGCAAAATGTTTTGGGGTTTGATCCCTGAAGATGGGGATTAATTCTTTGCTCATGTGGTGGCTTTTCCTTCCCTGGGTCGTGGTGTGACCATGACATTTATGGGTGGGTGATCTAGCTGGGAGCTGCCTGGCGTGGTGTCCTGTGTGTGTGTCCATGGTGTGACCACGTGTGGTGCCTTTAATTGACCCCATGGATCCTGGCTCCGCCCGTTTGACCCACTGAGAGCGAGGGGTGGCAGTGAAAGCTTCGCCCTGTTTAATGGGAATGGCAGCCCCAAGCCTGACAGGAGCTTTGGGAACAGGTGACACATCACCACAGGCGGCGTGAGAGGCCAACTGTGGGTTTCCAGCTCCTTCCACTGAAATGGTTTCTCTGGGAGACAAAACAACCCGACTGGGGTAGCTCAACAACACAAGGAGGAGAAGAGCTTTTCCCCACCTGCAATTTAACAGCAAGATTTAAGTGTAAATGTGTCATGAGGGAAGGATTGGAAGGACCAGCTGGCCAAGCAAACCGATGGGGAATTGCCTCCCGAGCCGCTTGGCACTGCCGGTGCTTCCTGCCTTCCTGTGTGTCCAGGCTGTGCCAACTTTGTGACGTTTCCCGGGATTATTTCAGTCTAAACATTTTGGGTTAACACAAATGGGCTGTTTAAACAGTTCAAATTCACCTGCTTGTTTGGATGGAAGGGGATCAGGACAGTGTAAGTGTTTGGAAGGGTGGATCTGAAATGGCAGGAGGCTCTCTGGTCAGGAGGCAGCCAGGGAATTGTTCTGGGTCCTGGGATCTGAGTGCTCCGGGCCGTGTTGAAGTTGCAGCAGATATTGTATTCCGGATTTTTCCTCAGCCAGGACTTTGTTGGAACATTAAGCACATCATGCTGCTGTCAGGGTGGGCTCTGTGGTGCTCTCCCTGCTCCAGGGTTGCTTTTCCAAAGTGTGTTCTACTGCTACTTCCAGAAAGGTTAAACAAGGTCGTGCTTTGGCGTGGGGGCACCTTAGGGACCTGCCAGTTGGGAAGCTCTTGACCTTCTAATGAGGACACTGCTGGCTTCACCCAGGGCCTGTGTGACCTCATTTAACCTCTTCCATGTATTTAAAGCAGGTTTTCCAGCCTGGCACTGCAGGGAGGGTGAGGCTGGTCTCTTGGACACAGCGTTGGTGCTGAAAAAGGGCTGGGTTGGGTGAAGGCATCCTGATGCTTCCCACCCTTCCCTCAGAGTCCTGTTCCCCTTTTTTTGGCCCCATTTCTTTCCCCAAGCACGGCACTGTGGTTCCTTCCCGGGTTCCCAGGGCATGACTCGGATAAGGAAAAGTTTCCTCCTTGCATTGCAAAGCAGCTTAAGGACCCTCCTGTACCTTGTGGAGCAGAGCAGGAGGAGGCACAGCCTCAGCGAGGTGGAGTCTCTGCCTTCCCAGCCAAGAAATGTCCTCTCTGCGCCATTCCCTGGAGGTCTGAGCTGGAAACCAGCGGTGGATGGAAGGGAAGGCCCTTTTTGGAGGGGGTGTGAGCACTATCTAAGGTGAACAGTCACTGAACAATGAGGTTATTTGAATACAGATCAGTAAATCTCACCTACAGCTGCCTGACCCACCCGCTCATTAGCACCGAGTGTCATAATTGCTTCACAACAGAGGGTTTTAAATGTCTGTGTCCCTGTGTAATTAGGGATGGGAAAAGGAAGAGTGCTGGGGAAGGGAAGGGCAGGATGGGCTCTCCTGTCAGCAGAACAACTGGACAAAAGGAATCCCAGCGGGGATCGAGGAGGGAATTGCTTCCCTGGCATCTCGGGATGTTCAGTAACGTGTGGAGTTTTATTCTACCAAGAGCAAAAGGATGGTTTGGGAGGAGATTTGGGCGGTTCAACGCTCCGAAGGGGTACGTGGTGTGCCTGCCTCCCCCTCTTGCCTGGCTGTTTTTAGACACACAGAACCCATCGCAAACCAGCAAACCTGAGTGTTTCTGTGTTGTCCAACACCTGACGCTCAGCAGGAGCCTCGGAGCAGTTGTAACACGGCCGAGGGAACAGCGAGGCAAGAGCCAAGTGATCGATGTGAAGGTCGTTGTGAAACCTCCCGTGTTCACCTGCGTGGTTGCAGCTCTGGCAGCAAAACTCCACCCCGGGATGGTATTTGCTTTGACAGCCAGACCTGGGCTGCAGGAACTGCTGGAAGAGGTTCTGCCTGGAGTAAAAATCGCATGTGGGCTCTCCCCACCCTCCCTGCTCTGAGCTGCTCCTGCTCGGGGGGTATCGTGTGTCTCCCGCAGTTTCGGCTCGTCCTTTCATGTCCCTGCTCCTCCCCGGCTGCTCCGAGGGGACCGTGCTGGGGGAATGCTGCTTGTTCTCCCTCTAATTGGAAATGGAGACATCCCAGCGTGCTGAGGGCTCTTCATTAATCCCTAGACCCGAGGGCTGAGTTTGCTTTTAATAACTTCCTTTGCTTAGTGCAGCACTCTGACACCTTGGGTGGCAGCAGCACAGCAGTGACATTCCTCAGAGCAGGGAAGGGATGGATGTGAAGGGAGCGTGGTTTGACTGCCTTCAGCACTGCTCTGCTTGGAAAGGTGAGGGGAAAACGCCTCTGATGGCACTTGGGATCCGCATTCAATGCACAGCCTGTGCCTGGCAAGCGCTCGTGCCTGCCTGGTGAAGTTTGGGAACGCTCCGTTGAACACAGTGAATACTGTTTGTTAAAATTACATGTACAACTCCAGGGCTAATGCTCTGGTCTCAGAAGAAAGTGCCTCCAAACATCCAGACAATTCCTCTGGGGTTTCTGGGAGCTGGAAATGCTTTTTTGGGGTTTTGTTGTTGTTTTTTTACCTCCATTTCCACCTACCCACCCTGCAGAAAGTCACAGGTCGGTGCTGACATCACGTGTGTTATTTTCCACCCAATTTCTCTCCTGTTATGAAGCCAGGGTTGGGGATTTTTTTTATTATTTAGAAGCATTTCAGATGCTGAATTAATCTTGCTTTTTCAAATTAATATTGGCTGGCACCAGCTTCTGACTGGTTCAGACTGAGGGGCTTTCTGTTTTGGGGCTGATTTAGGCAAAAATACAACCAACAGCCCAACAGAAAAACCATCAACCCCCAGTGTGGAAAATCTGGAGTTCCATGAGGGAGAGGAGAGACCTGTACAGGAAGGCTCAGGAATTTTGGGTAGACTCTGGAATGGCTGTAGTTAGCTTTGGAAAGGGTTTGTCAGGCTGGTTAGCACAGTGGCCCTTCCATGGCACTTCCTTGCCCCTCCAGCCTCTCCACAGCCCGGAATGCTGGGCTGGCTTTCCTTCCTCCATCACTTCTCACATAATCAAGATCCTCCTGCTGAAATACTCTCTGGTTTCCCTCAGTTATTCTTCTCTTCCCTATTTTTCAGTGATTTTTCCCATTTCGTGTGTGCTCAGACTGGAATATTGGGGTCTATCTGTGTTGCAGCCTGTCCCCAGGCTCCTCATGAGCCTGTGGCTGTGGCTCCCTGTGCTTGACCCTTGCTGGGATCTGAGATCTCGTGCTGGGAAGCACTGCAGGGTTGCAGGTAGAACTCCATCAAAAAGCTCCTTTTTTTTCCCCTGTTTGTTATTTTTTCCCTGCCCTGAACGTGCTCTTCCCAGTGTTGACAGGAATCTATCTGCTTTTTCACATCTGGGCCGGTATCCTCAGTGGATGCTTGTAGGACACAGCAGATACATTACTAGCTATGTGCAAAACAGCTTTCCCCTAAAATTCCTTCCCCAGTCTCTTGCCCTGGGGAGATGGGATTCTTGGCTGAACTTTCCACGTTACCTACGGGGCTTTGTCTGTTCTGCAGGCAGGTCCTGCAGGCTTCTCCGAAGCTGACTGAGAGCTCTGTTGCTCTCCCAAGCTCCACAACGTCTGACTTGGAGGCTCCAAAACAAGACCCAGGGGCACAGTTTGTACCAGGACACCCCGGCCTGCCGTGTGTGGTGTCGGGCAGGGCTGGGGGGCATCTCTTTTTTTCCCCTGTAGGATTTTTTTCCACGCAGCTCTGCGATGGATCTCGGGTGTTCCTGCCTTTAGAAGGGATTGTGGCTCTGTAAATCCTGCCATGAGCAGGCACCAGCTGGCTTCACTTAGCCTGTGTGTGCACTGATTTATTTTTTTGCAGGCAGGGCTGGACTGTGCTGATTGTAAGTGTTCCCTCATGTTCCATCAAATACCCCCAGAACAGCAGCATCAGGATCGACAGTCCCCAGATTAGTGTTTTCGTGCTCTGGTTCTGCTTCAAAAGTGATTTTCTTTGAGTTGGGTGTTGTGGCTTTTTCTTTTGTGTGTGTGTGTGTGTGTCCCTTCCCACCTCCCTGTCCTTCTTGTGTTGTTCTCCAGGGACTCCAGGGCAGTAGGTGGAGCAGGGGCCTGTATTGTGTCCCTTTCCTGTGGAGTTGTTGCTCTTGGCCAGCAGCTTTGCTGCCCTTATTTATAGTGGGAAAAACCTGAGAGGCTGAGCTGCAGCACATCCAGCTGCTGGAAAGGGTCTGGTGATTTTTGGGGTGTGAGTGTGGGCTTGGTGGGCTGGAAGGTGTCTGTGTTCATGTCATGATGTGTGTCCAGCCAAAGGGGGTTGTGTTTTGTGGGCAAAGCTGTGATGCTGCAAAATTAAACTAATCTGTGGCTGAGGGAGCTGGGGGGGCTCAGCCTGGAGAAAAGGAGGCTCAGGGGGGACCTTTGGCTCTGCAACTCCCTGACAGGAGGGGGGAGCCGGCGGGGGTCGGGCTCTGCTCCCAGGGAACAAGGGACAGGAGGAGAGGAAACAGCCTCAAGCTGTGCCAGGGGAGGGTCAGGTTGGACATCGGGAGGAATTCCTTTACAAAAGGGGTTGTCAGGGACTGGAAGGAGCTGCTCAGGGAGGTGCTGGAGTCCCCACCCATGAGGTGTCCAAGAATATGTGTCATTCAGTGCTCTGGGCTGGGGGATCAGTCACAGGTTGGACTTGATCCTTGAGGTCTTTTCCAGCCTAATTGATTCTGGAATTGTGTAATCCTTGTCTTGGGAAGCCCCTTATGAGCTTCCCTTTGCCCTCTTAACACTGGGAGCCCCTACCACATCTCCCCAAGCTGATGTGAGGGTTCCACGGAGCCGTGGATGGAGTTGAGCTCCTTTCTTTGCATGAACGTGCTCTGCTGTTTCCCAGTGTGGGGTGGGCTGGTGGGAGGTGCCAGCTGTTATTATTATCTCTGCAGCACAGAGATAATCCTTTCTTTTTGTTTTCCTTCTTTATAATTCTTGGTTCTTTCCCTCCTTTCCCCTGCAGCCGAGGAGGTGGATCACACCCCAGGTGATGGCGGCATGGGGGTAGATGTTTTGGAATCGGGTGACACCACACCCCCTACAAAGAGGAAAAGCAAGTTCTCAAGCTTTGGCAAGATCTTCAAACCCTGGAAGTGGAGGAAAAAGAAAAGCAGCGACAAATTTAAGGAGACTTCAGAAGGTAAAGTGATGGGGAGGGGGGCTGGGTGGACGTCCCTTCCTCCGCAGGGAAACCTGCCACGAGCCATCTGGCCACTGAGAAGGGCTTGCTGTCACCAGCCTGGGTGCTGGCATGTGCAAGAACCAAAAACGTGACTGTGGTGATGGGCTGGCACCTGCAGTCTCTCCACAAACACCTTGACATGGAGCTGTAGTTTCAGACAAATAAATTCCTTTCTTGCAAGGAGCCTCCCCAAGCAGCTGTGGGGAGGGAGGGTTCGCTCCACGATCACCAGCGTGGTGTGAAGTGCAGGCCTGAACGTGCAGTCCCTCCTCCTCCTCTTGATCCATGCAAAAACAGTGGAATTTGAAACCCTTTTATTTCCTCCAGAGGATCCCTTAAAAAAAAAAAATTTAAAAAAAAAAATTATTCATCTGGAACTTCTAGCTTGCCCTGTTTTCTGAGTGCCTTTTTTCAATTTAATATCAGTTTTAGAACGAAAGATTTCTATGCGAAAGCCAAGAGAGGAGCTGGTAAAAAGAGGGGTTCTGTTGGAAGAGCCTGAGCAGGGTGAGTCTGCAAACCAACTTCTCCTGTCTGTGTCTTGTGTAGCTGATCTTCCTCTGGCCAAACCTCACCCTTGGGACACGAATTTAAGGGCTCTTTGCTGCGGTCCCTGCCTGTTTTACCCTTTTCAGTGCTTTCTCTGGTCTGATTTTCACACACTGATTTTTCACAGCCTGCTCAGGGAGGAAGATGCTGCTGAGGAAGCTCAGTGCCTGTCTTGGACACATTCCAGGGTGGGAAGGCTGTGCTGTGGCTCACTTCCCATCCTGTCCCTCCCTCCCTGTCCTGCTCCAGATCCCTTGTCCTGTCCTGCCAATCTCTGCTGTCACTCACCACCTTCCAGCTGTTCCAATCACATTCCCAACGGAACTGGGGGAGAGGTGCTGACCCTGTGGCTCCAGCTGGGAAAAAAAAGTCAAAAATGAATGAATTCTGAGCTGCATTTCCTCCAAAAGATGCTTCATGGTGTGGTGTCATAGTCACCACTAAGCTTATTAAAGCTTGCCCTGCTTTAATCTAAGTCTAAGAGGTCTGATCCCCTTCTGTGTCATCCCTGATGTCTCCGAGTTGGATCACACTGCCAAAATAAGTTCTCAGATCACCACTGAGTCACCTGGCTGTTAGCTGGGGGGTGTGGGTTCAAGGGAGGGGGCAGGAAGGTGAGGTGGGATGGCAGCCCTCCTGTCTGGGTGGGATCATAGTGCTTGGATTAGGGTGTGATTGCCCCTCAGGAGACGCAGTCAGAGGCAGCCCCGGCCTAGTGCAAATCTCATTCTGAGAAAGCTGCCAAGTGGGGAAAAAGTGGAGGTGAAAAAGTGGTTTTCAGACCAAACCACTGAAAGCAAACCTGAGAGAAAGAGTCCTGACACAGCTCTGCTGTAATGCTGCCTCTACACCCACCCGAGGGTGCCAGGGCAGCGCTGGAGGAAGAGTTCAGCGGGTCCAGGAGGGTGTGAGGTCACAGGATGAAACTGGAAGAGACATCAAAGACCTTGGGCACCAAACTTCCAACTGGAGATGGCAGAGGAGAGCGAGATCTTCCACGCTGTAAGGGTGTAACAGAAGCCTGGCTTAGGGGTGGAATTATTTTCTGCTTTGAGTCATCTGCTCTGCTTTTAGAAGCAGAAGATGGGTGTAATGTGGCCAAAGTGCAAACCCCCAGCACGAGGGAGTGGGGGGGGCTGGCAGGAGGGGCAGATTAGAGGCGCATTATCTAAATCCCTCCTGGGAGTTTAAGACACTTGGGCAGTCATGAGATGTGAGGGTGGGTTATTGTGTTTGTTTGCAGTTCTAAAACCCGCTCTTACAAGGTCAGTTAATTTTCTTAGACGGGTTCTTAGCAGGGGGAAAAACACTGGAAACCCCTTGAGATGAGGAAGTGAGGAGGCAGGGAAGGAGGTGGGGTGGAGGTGAGGCTGGGAGAGGAGGCCCTGCTGCTCTCTGGGCTCCAGGTTGTGGGTATTGGGCTCAGAGTAAGGAAGAAGAGGTGGCATTGGATCTCCTGACCTTGAAGGAGGTCACTGGAGCTGAAGCTGGGAGGGAGGTGGTGGGAGAAGCCATCGGGAGCTGAGAAGGGCAGGCAGAGTTGAGTCTTACTGTTCCCTCCTCCCTTGCTGAAAACTTCGGATAACCAGAGGCAGTTCCATAAAAACCTCTGGCTCATCCCTTGAGTTTCAGCCCTGTCTGGGGAGGAAACTCCCTCTTGTTGCTGTCTGTGCTTCCTGCTTTTCAGGGAAGGGCAGGGAGCGAGCGGGGCAGCGCCGTCTGCCAGCTCCTCCCAGGAACCAAGACTGTTTCTTGTGGAAAAGAAAGCCTGGGGAGCTTTTGGCTCCTTGGCAGCTTTGCTTTCAGCTTCTGAATCACACCAGGATGGGGAAGGGGAGGTAATACTTAGGGGAGAGAGGAAAGGTGAAGAGGGCAGTGGAATAAATGATCAAAAATCAGAGCAGCAGAGTGTGCTGGGGTCTGCAGTCTGGAGGGCCTTGATGCCACGTGCTGCAGTTGGTGCAGAGAGGGTAGACTGAAAGGATTTTTGATCAAATTGAGGATGTATCCAAGTTTTCTTGAGTTGGAAAGCAGTCAAAATGGCCATGTCCCATTAGAGTGAGTGCTGAAGTCTGATAATGGGAATAACATCATCAAGAGTTTGTGCTGTCGGGGCAGTTATTAAGAATGGCTGAGTATTTCCTCTCGGGGTTTAAAATGCTCTCAAAATTAGAGACTGGAAAGAGGAACTTTTTCCCAAAGAGGTTTTGCTTCTGACCTTGGGAAACTCCATGCCAGAATCTGTAAAAGCAGAAATAGCCAAGGTGAGCTACATCAACCTCTGGAGCTATATCATTACATCTGATTAAAACAAAGGTAAAGTGAAGAAACCTGCTTTGCTGATGTGCATTGAATTTTATGCCAAATTTGGGGTAGAAACAGAAGAACAGAGGTGCTTCCAGTAACTTTAAGACTTTATCAAAATCTACTACTGTGTATGCAATAGATGCCCTGGCTCGTGTTGGAACCTATTGCAGCAGGGAATCGGTGGCTGCTCTGTGATGGTGGGTGGATACAAAAGCTGCTGGAGTATTTTGACTGCAGTCACAACTTCCTTGGGCTGTGGCACAGCACTGGGCACACCAGGAGGAAGGGCAGGACAGGAAGAAGAAAAACCTTTGATGGTTCAATACAGAGCTGTACTATTTACTTGTTGACGATGAAGCCAAGGGCTCCCAGCCCCAGCTGGGTGGTTGCTGTGCTCTCCTGTGCAGAAGGTGACTGAAGAACAGCTGCTTCAGAAGCCAGAGAGAAGCTGGTGTGGCTCTGTGGTGGTTCAGTCAGCTCAGCCAGCTCTGCTCTCTGCTGCCTTCTGAGTGTTTGCTCTTTGTTTCTGTACCCTCCCACCCCCCTGCAGATGGTGAAGAGCCAGAGAAGCTGAACCCCCCTGCACTGAAGAATGGCCACACAGTCCCCATCAGTGGGCCCGGGCTCTGTGACCTGCCCAGCCAGGAGGAAGAGGCCACAAAGCCCTCCAGCCTTAGGAAGCCTGTTCCAGCAGAGGAACCAAAAAAGAGGCAGGGTAAGAAACCAGCTGTGTGCAAACTTGGGGCTTTGGATTATCCCAGGACCAGTTTTGAATTCCCATCTGATTGTTTCTGCTCTCCAGTCCCTTAAACTGAGCTGTCTCCCTTTGCAGGCTCCTCCAGCAGCCACCCTGGGCCCGAACTGGAACCACCTCAGGAGCCACATGGTCCCAGACAGCCTCTCCTTCCTCCAAAAAGACCCCCCTCCACCTCCCAGGAGGCCAACGAGGCGCAGGCGAAGGATCCGACGCCCGCCAGCAGCTCTGCAAGAACTGCCCCCTCCACCACAGCCCCCACTGCAGCAAAGACAGTCAATCCCACAGCTGCCCCTTCCCCAGCCCCCAGGACTCTGCTCCCTGCTCCTGCCAGTGCCAACACTACTGCTCCCACCAGTACAACCAGCACAGCTCCTGCCAAACAGCCTCCTGTCCCCCCTCCCAAACCCGTCAACAGAAATAGCAACTCACTAATAGGTAAGTGACCCCCATGAGCTGGTTTTTGTGCCCTGGGATGTCCTGGGGCCACTGCCCCAAGACTCTCTTCCCTTCATAAGGGAAGATTTTTGGTTGTATCATGAATGTCTGACCGTTCTTCCTGAAAACAATCCAGTTTGGACTTGGATCTGCCAGTGTTTAGGCAGGACACACGTGTGCTGGGAACAGTGTGATTACTGGAGTCCTCTGCTGTGAGATATCCAATCTGTTCCCAGCAGCTACCTGCAGGAAGGAGTCCCTGCCTGCTTTTCCTCTGTCAGCTCTAAGGCAGTGTCTGAATGTTGATGCTTCACTGAGGGCTGGGATTCAGCCAGGACTGGGGGATGGTGGATGAGATTTTGCTTTGCGAGACTGCGGTCAGGGACAATTCCTGCTTTCAGCTGGTTTGGGGGGAAAAGAAAACAACCAACAAACTAACCCAAAAAATGCACATCACACCAAAAAAATGTCTGTCACAGCTGTCACTGCAGGGCCATGTGGTTTTCCACTCAGTGCAGAGAGGCAGGGATAATTCAGGCTTCCCTGGTTCTACTCAGGCACCTCCTCTAAGGTCTGTGGCTGGGATGTTGCCATATTAGTCTTGTCCTTAAGTCTTGTCCCACAGATAAATCAGCTCAACTGTAATTTGAGCTGAATCTTCCCACTTAGAGAATTAAATGTCTTTATCTCTGTAACTTTTCTAAGCAGGAGATTTGGGGGAGAGTTTCTTAAGCTGGTTTAGTCTCTGCTCTCTGTAGGAGTTTGGGGGGGTTGGTAAAGATGCAGCATTGAGAGCTGGGATGACTTCCATGCAGTCTGTTTGTATCTCAGACAGTTCTGTCACAGATACCACCTAATCTTTGGACACAGAGGAGGAGGGAGGCTGCTGGGAAGATCAGTCCCACAGGTTTGCAGTGTTATCACAGAAACTGGAGGCGTTACCCAGGTGTGGTTTGGGAGGCAGTGGTGGATGTGCAGGTTGCCATCTGAAGTAGCCTGAGTGGCTGCTTTCAGTGTGAGCTGATGGCTCTGCTCTGCTGGGGGCTCACCTTGCTCTGGCAGGTTTTGCAAGTGACCTTGATAATGGTGTTAAACACTCCCATGTGCCAGACCAGCTTGATTAGCCTGGCCATGCCCGAGCACTCCATGAAATACCTTCTTGTTTTCTTTAAGCTGCTTGCACACACTGCAGATGGCATTTGAAATGCCCCAGCGCTAATTGCAGGAGGTACTTGTGGAACAAAAAGCGTGGCTGGAGGCAGGAGTGTGCCCAACATCTGTTCAGAGCCATCCTGCTTCTTCCCAACAGCCACAGGGTGTGCAGGGGAAGGGAGGGGAGAGGAAAGGTCACCCTCTTTGTCCTAAAATTCCTGACAATGCTGATTCTCGGAGCAGTTCTTGTGTCTCATGCAGCAGCTGAAAATAAGGCTCAGGAAAGCCTTCTGGGGAGTGGGAATTTATTCAGCAGCAGCTTGGACAAGCGAGCAGGGAACAGGGTGCTGTCCTGCTGTCCCAGAGCTTGGCAGCAGCCCCAGGGCAGGTTTCAGGAGACACTGGAGCCCCCTGGGCTGGAGCTGAGGGCACTCGGGTGTTTTGCACAATCTTGCCCTTAATCTACGAGGGGAAAGTCTGAAAATGCTAAACATCCCAAAAATGTGCCCACCTCTCTGCAGCTATGCAGCCTTATCTATCTCTGGGAACACTCCTGCTCGCAGCACCCTCTCGTGGTGCCTGTGCTGTGGGCACACGGGTGTGTCACATCACCCGCTTCAGGCAAAGCCTTTCCAAGCCCCAGAAGCCATGGATATGTGGATGTGTTCAAGGCTGGAAACTCCTAAGGGAAGAGCAGTCTTCACTGGTGCAGCTTCTTCCCTAGGAATGGAGCGGGGTTTGAGGAAGCTGAGGTTGCCCACTGCAGGCATTTCCCGTGTCTGCATTTCTCCCTCTCTCCTCCATCACACAGCAGATATGTTGGCTCAGGGCTTTTAGGCATTTTGGGAAGTTTTGCTAGTTATTTTGTAGTTTATTTGGGCATTAAGGAACGGAGTTCAGAGGGAGGGGAGCAGAATCTCATCCTGAGGAGCTGCTGGGAGCAGGGTGTTCTCGAGCTGGGTCTGATGGTGGGTGGAAGTGGGGAGAGCACACTGCTGCCTGCAGCTCTGCTGACTTTTGCCTTTGAGCAAAAGGTAGGACTTTAAGACTCTTTGAGACTTCCCACAAAGTTCTTTAATGTGCAGGGGAGCTGTTAACAAAACTGGAGTCTGGGGTGTCCTGGATGTGTCACATTCCTTTGTTGCTGTAAATACAGCCATAAAGTGCCCACATTCCTGGGCGAGCTCCCTGTGCTGTCACTTGAGGGCTGGTGCCACTCCTCTCTCTCCAGAGCAGCAGGATCTCTCCCAGCCTGCTTATTTTTGGCTGCTCTCCGGAGTCTTACCTTTGCTGCGGGAAGGAGAAACTAGAGCCTTGCAACCTGGTTATTTCTGGCACCACGATCCAGTAAAAAGCAGCAGAGTCTGCCTAGTCCCAGACTCTGCCTTGCCGTGCTTCTTCCATGCCGCTGATGGGTATCTGGAAAATTCCCCGTTAAACACCGTGGCTTTTGTGGTTTTTATTTCCAGCTGAACTTTCCCAGGCAATGAACAGTGGTACCGCCTTGTCCAAGCCTTCCCCTCCTCTCCCCCCGAAGAGGGGCCTCGTGCCCAACAACACGTCGGAGGTTGTCCCCTCCAAGCCCCTCCACGACAGGACAGGGACGACGACTCGCCCGGCGCCGATCCCGCTGCACATGAGCTCGGCTCACCCGCCGCCCTCACCCTCACCACCCCTGCCCACACACGTGCCCCCCGAGCCCCCACGCATGCCCCTGCCCACTCCCACCCCCACCCTGGACCCCCCGCGCTCCCTGGACCTGCCCAGCGAGACGCCTCCTCCTCCGGAAGAGTTCAGGTCCGTGGAGGTGCTGAAGAGGACGGCGGAGCAAGGCTTTGGAGAGCCCCACGTGCTGCCCCGCCTGCCCCAGATCCCGCTGCACATCCGGATCCAGCAGGCTCTGAACAGCCCCCTGCCCGTCACCCCCCCGCCCGAGGGGTCCCACAGGGCTCATTCCCTGCTCTTTGAGAATGATGGATTCGGGGATGACAACGGCACCCTGGGCAGGACGAGGTCCCTGCCCATCACCATCGAGATGCTCAAAGTGTGAGTACCCCCTGGGCGCGTGGTGGCTCTTGCAGCTCCTGAGAGCCTGTGGTGTGGTGAGGAGGGCTCTGGGCAGGGCTGGTGTCTCTGCTGAAACCACTTTCCCTGTTGGCCAGATCTGTGATTCAGCCTCTTAAGGGCCAGAACAACTTCCCAGTGAAATTACCCCCGGTTCTGGGATTTTACTGCTCGCAAAGGGAAATGGGTTCCAGACTGCAAACACAGGCTGATGCCAGGAATCCAAGCCTGGCCTGTCTTTAATTGCACCAAGACAAAACAAGGTCTTGGATTCCATCCATTTGTGGCCTGCCTTGGCCTTTCATTTTGCAAAACTGAAGTGGGGAAAGGGCTGTCTTGTTATAGCAGAGCTGAATCTGGAAGTCCCAAAGTAGTGGGGTCAGAAGGCTGTTTTGGTTCTACAGAACCTGCCTCTGGCATTTCTTCTGCCAGAGCTCCCTGTCCTTTGGGGAGAGGCGACAGTGCAGGATCTTGGGGTGCCTGTTGCACCTCTGGTATCTGGGCTCCCTTGGGGAGAGTTGTTGACCCCAGGGATGTTCCCCAGCCCCTGTGCCGTGTGTTAAGAGGTGTAATAGTGTGCTTCTTGTTAGTCCAGACGATGAGGAAGAGGAAGAAGATGACCAGGAAGAGGAGCAGAATCCAGGTCCTCGTGTATATATTGGAGATGTGCCATCTGTCACAGTCATCCCCAAACTGGTACCCCAGGTCCTGCCAGAGGAGCAGGAAGGAGACGAAGGGATGAGCGACTCTGACTCGGAGGGGCCCATCCTGTACAAAGATGACGAGGATGAGGAGGAAGATGAAAGCCATAACAGTAAGGCTTTGACATTGCAGCTGGCTTTTTTATTTCTCTGCTGAACCCGTGCCTGGCTGTACTGAGATCTGGATCAAAGAGCTGGTTCCCACAGCGCAGCAGAGCAGCTGGTTCTCGGTTTCATGATGTACCACATGTCCTCTGCCTCGCTTTTTCCAAGGCTCTGCAGCCAAACCTGTGCTCTCACCTGCTGAGTGCACCCCTCCAGTTGCAGATGGCTCCTGCAGCAGCCTGTGCTGTCCCAGCCCCTCAGGTGGGACAGCTTTAGGTGAGCATGTGGCGTCACACAGGAGCGCCGGATGCTGCTGCGTAGCGCAGAGCTTGGGAAACACGAGAGAGGACAGATCTCCCTCAGGGAGAGCACAACTGCCAGGGATCGTGGCTGGGATCGCTGAGCTCAGGCTCTGCAGCCTTGAGCTGCATCCCATTGCTCTCCCTCCCCGCAGGCACGTTGGCCAACAAGGTGAAGAGGAAAGACACGCTGGCCATAAAGCTGGGGAACGTGACCGCGCCGCAGGAGGACAAGATCGTCTTCCCTCGGAAGAGCAAGGAGGAGTGGAACGAGATCCGGCAGCAGATCGGGACAACGCTGATCAGGTACAGGGAACAAGGAGGGTGTTCTGTCTGAACCACTGGCTGGGGTGGGATTGGGCAAAGCTGGTGCCTTGTCTATCAGCCTGTACTGGAATAGGGTGGGTGGTTGGGCACGGCAGCTGGAGCAGGGCTGGGAGGATGAGTGTTGCTGTTCCTCCCTGCTTACAAAAGTTGGGAGTTCCTCCTGGAGTTGAGCAACAGCCCCTGACAGGCCCCTGTTTCCAGAGTTAAATGGATCAAAAGGGGAAAATCCCAAGGGCTGCAGAAATGTAAAAGACAGATGGTGTAGAAAGGTATGGGTGGGTGGACAAAGCTGGTGACAGTCCAGGCTCAACTCTGTGCTTGAGCTCCCTGCACAGCTGCTTTCTGAGGGTGCACAGCCCTTCCCAGACCTGTGCCGGTGGCTGAGCAGCTGTTTGAGCAGAGCAGAGCACAAACAGGGCAGCAGTGATCTCCACTGGCGAGTGAGGAGTGTGGAGAAGGCTCTCCAGAGCACCAAAACCAGGCAGTTGTGTCCTTCATCCCCTGCTGAGCGGGATACAGATACAACATAACGCTCCTGTCACACTTTTTCTTCAGGCGACTGAGCCAGAGACCCACAGCGGAAGAGCTGGAGCAGAGGAACATCCTGCAGCGTGAGTAGCACTTGTGTGGGGGTCCTGAGAAATACAATGTTTGCCCATCTTAGTTCATTGAGAGAGGATGGTTTTAAACTGAAACAGATTTACATTAGATTTTGGGAGTAAATTCTTCCCTGTGAGGGTGGGGAGGCCCTGGCACAGGTTGCCCAGAGAAGCTGTGGCTGCCTCTGGATCCCTGGAAGTGTCCAAGGCCAGGTTGGACAGGGCTTAGAGCAACCTGGGCTAGTGGAAGGTGTCCCTGCCCATGGCAGGTGATTTTTGATGTCCCTTCCAACCCCATTCATTCTGTGATAATACAGGCTGCCTGTCCCCTGCCTGTCCCCTCAGAGTGTATGAGCTGGTTCAGACTCTGCTGTTACCCAGCAAGGGCTGTGAAAGGTGTTTTGTTTGGGCTGGACTTTCACTTGTGGTCCAGACATTACAGCATTGCATTGCATGATCCCAAAAGCAGCAGTGCATCGCTCAGTCAGGGCTGTTTCTCTTGGCCATGTCTTGTTCTGCAAAAGTTTTAAATAAACATTGTGAGGAAAGGGAAATGTCAGTTCAGGAAGTTTCCATTTAAAATATTTATCTGTGCTGTTATTTTCTTTTAAACTCTAATAGCTTTGGGGAGGACCGAGCTGCAGAGTGGCTGGGATGTATTTTGGCAACACAGGCATTAGTCTTTAACATAAGAATGACTCGGTGGTGCTGCTTAAGGGCTATGTGGCCCCTGCTAGTCCAGGAGGTGACTCTATATTGAGTTGGGCTGCTCTGTGTGCCTGTCCTAACTGCAGACATGCCACAGTGAGCCATCAGATGTGTAGATAATACGATGCAGCTCCACACTCTGCTTTGTTCAAGCCCAGAAAGCCCTTTTCAAAGCCTGATGCTTACATGAAAAATGTATTTTTTTTCTCCCCCTTGGCAGCCAAGAATGAGGCTGACCGTCAAGCTGAGAAGCGCGAGATCAAGCGCCGGCTCACCAGAAAGGTACTGCTGTCCCCCCGTGGTGACGGCCACCTGGCAGGGCTGGTGGCAACGGGCACGGCGTGGGCACCATGCTGTGGGGGCGGTCACGGGGCCATTGTGTAAGTGTCCCCAGCGCCCTCGGGCTGCGGGGACTTTGGAACATGGGCTGCGGCCCGCGGGGAGCTGCTGGTGCGGTTGGCAGTGCCAGGTCTGAGCTGGCAGCGAGCATAACGAGAGAGATGAGAACTAAATTTGGCACCTGGCACCTGCCAGGCCAGCGAACCTTTCTGCTCTAACACAGCTCTTCAGTGGCCACGCCTCACAGCAGGCTCCCTAAAAACTCATTTCTAAAGCAACAGCGGTGTGGGAGCTGGGCAGAGCAACAGCTGCTTTGAGCTGTTACGTCCAGGTTACTTGGGGTTGTCACTCATGGCTGGGAGAATCTTCCTTGGGGCCTGTGGGTGTGAAATGCGAGTGTGGCCATTGCTGGGGTTGAGTTGAGGAGTGTGATGCAGGGTTCACCATTTAATAGCTATTCCCAAACCTTTCGTGTCTTCCTTCTCCATGGCAATGTGTCCTGGGTTCTGCTCTGTCCTGGGCTCATGATCCAAATGGGAATATCCAGTCTGTAAGAGGGTTTGCCTGCTCCCTTGCAGGATGTGAGCAGGACCTGGCAGTGTCTGTGGCTCAGGCCCAGCCAGGGAACTGGTTGTAGTTTTGCTCAGGGTGCTTAGTCCTGATCTGCATCATGGACAAGGCTCAGACTAACACCCTTTGTTCTTGCTGGTGTTCAGCTTAGCCAAAGGCCTACGGTGGCAGAGCTGCAGGCCAGGAAGATCCTGAGGTTTAATGAGTACGTGGAAGTAACAGATGCTCAGGACTATGACCGGCGAGCGGATAAGCCGTGGACAAAGCTGACACCAGCTGACAAGGTAACAGGGAGTGTCCTGGCCCCAGGTGGGACAGGGAGCCACACCAGGGTGGGAGCCAAAGAGATTTGCTCTGTTCCTCTTGCCTCACCTCTTCATCTTTCCCTCTGACCTCCCACCGAGCACCACCAGTGTCCCTTCACCCGTGTGTGCTGTCCCAGCTCCACTTCCTGCTGCCTCATGGTGAGGTGGAGCCCAGGGGAGCTGGCAGGGAAATCTGTCCTGTTCCTCCCTGGCCACCTGTGGGACTGCCCAGCCCTGAGGTGGAGGAGGAGGGGCAGATTAAATTCGGTTAGTTCAGTGTGAATGAACTGCCAAACTGGGGTGGCTGCTGCAGTCTGAGCCCTTTCCTTTACCAAAAAACAATCTCCCTCTCTCTGCAGGCGGCCATCAGGAAGGAGCTGAATGAGTTTAAGAGCTCTGAAATGGAAGTGCATGAGGAGAGCAAGCAGTTCACGAGGTGAGAACATGTTACTCAAGAGTTTGTCTTGTAGGAGCTGTTATGAGTTCTGCTCCTGGAGGGCCTGTGCTGAGGGGCACATCAAAACCTCAGAAGAATTATCTGTACAGAAATGGGAGATTGAATGTCCCCTCCTGCCTTGGTGGTGAGGGGTGACTGGAGACACAAAGTGGGTTGTTTTTCCTTAAACTGGGGCTTCCATCCTGGAAACTTAAAAGTGACCAGTGGCTGGTTTGAGATGCATCTGAAACCAGTGTGACCTTGCAGCTGAGTGGACTTTTCTGGGGCTAGAGAAGCCACAACCACAAAACACCTTGGTAATGAGCTGGGATATTATCTGTGAAGTCACCTGTGAATTGTGGCCCAAGTGATTCTTCTCCTTCCAGCTTTGTGAGGTGGAGTTGTTTGCAGAGCACAAGAGGTGACATTGTTTGATGTTTACAGCTTCCCCAAGGGCTGGGAGTTCTGTGTTGATTCCATTTACCCTCTTTGGCCAGTCTAACCATTTAACCTGGGCAACACTCAGATTTTTCACTTGGCTTTCAGGTACCATCGACCATAATCTTCCAAGAAGGGAGCAAGAGGCCTGGAAGTTCTCTGCATCCCTGTCCTAGGCAATACAGCGAGGGTGGAACCCCTGGCTCTTCCAAGATTTGCCTTCCAACCATATCCAGAAAAGGGCTTTCAGCCAGGGAAAGGGGAATCCTGTCTGAATGTAGCATTTCACTGGAACAAACACGTCTCTCGTGCCATCAGGCTGGAACTGACACTATACCTCGTGTGGCTCAGCAATAACCCCCTGCCAGGAGAACACGCCCAGGGGAACAGACTCCTTTTTGGGATGCAATTCCTCCTTTCCTCCTCTTTTCCGTGAGGAAAGGGGGGGAAAAAAAAGAAGAAAAAGGCAGCTCTGGTGTTGAGAAGCTGAGGAGAGGATGTGCTTGGAAGCACGTGTGTGTATATTAGCTGTGTACAGAGAAACCTGGCACACAACTGACATGTCACTCGTTATTTTTTGGGGTTTTGCTTGTTTCTGTCATGTCCTTAATGTCCTGAATCACTACTGACCAACGGTTTGTTGTGCTGGAAGGGAACTGTATAGGTATTAACATATGCTGCATCTTTTTTGTAAAAAAAAAACCACAAAAACAAAAACAAAAAAACAAAAACCACAGATGTATAAAACATTCCTTCCCCACCCTCTCACACTAGCTGTGATGTTAATAACAGATCTTGAGATATCTAGGATTGTTTAATGAATTACAGAACCAGGAAAAAAATGACTGTTGCCTTTTAAAACTTTTTAATTTGGGGAAAAGGTGAGAGTAGTCAATCCTTTTTATTGTGGCTTCCTCTCAGATGTTTTTTACTCTCCCAAATCAGGGTTGAAACTTGCCTTTTTTTCCTCATTTTTACAGCTAAACCTACCGGAAACTTGATAAAATTTCACTGTGTGGGTCGAAGGGAGTGGAGGAAGAGGTTTAAAAAGTGACCTTAAAAAGATGATATTTCTCTTCTGAAAGAAGTTCTTCCTAAATGTGGGGTTTAAAAAAAAAAAAAAAAAAAATCTGGTACAGGCCACTGCTCTATTATGCACAAAACCTAAACCATGTGTGAGATGCCACTTGTGAGGGAAGGGAGCGTGGGGATGGACAGAAGGGCTTTTTGCCTTGTTCACAGGCAGGGGTGGCAACACCCCGGCCACGACCCGGCACCCTCATGGGCCATGGCGAGAGCTCTTCCCTCACAGCTCCCCCTCCACTGTACAGCCACCTGTAGACTTAAACCATTGCGTTGTATATCAGTCTCCTCAGCAACAGATTTTAACTATGGAATAAAAGTATTTTAGGATTTTTTTTTTTAAGAGAAAAAAACCGGCTTTTGTGGTGTTTTTAACCGCTGGGGCCCTGAAGGGGCTGTGGGGGGGGGTGAATCCATCATGGCGGTTCTTCCCTGAGGGGGCGGCATTTCCCGTCTTCCCAACGGCCGCCGCTTCCACTGCGCAGGCGCTGCTGGCCGCGTCCCTTTGTTTCCCGCCCAGGGAGCTCTGGCCCCGCCCCTCGCTCTCTGCTCTTGCCCATGTACGGTTTGGCTCCGCCCCTTGCCACGCCCCCTCCATGCTCTATAAATACCGCAGCGCGCCTCAGCTCGGCCTCTTTTTCGCCGAGGAGCGGAGCGTTGCTGAGGTAAATCTTATCCTATTCTACCCGTTTTTTTATTCTCTATTTCGCTATACCACGAGGTCCCCGCGGCCCTACAGCCGCCTGCAGGGATGCCTCATCCCTCTCTTAGCGCTAAAACAGGCCGTGGGTTACCCGCGGCGGAGGGTGCCCCTCAGCCGCCTCCTCACGGCCCGCTCCATTTCCCGCAGGTCACGCTGCCCGCCTGCCCAGCCCGGCCTGCCCAGCTCGCTCCACCGTAAGTACGGCGTGGCCACGTCTGTTTGCGGAACTCGGGGGTATAATTATAAAAGCACAAACCCAACGTGGATATCCGGAGAAGTCGCTCTCTCCTGGCTCTGTCCGTGTGGCGCACGGGAGCGCAGGCCCTCGGGCCCGTGACGTACAGTCCCCTTCCACGACGTTGGAGAACAAGCCGGGCCACCGAGCCTGCAGCCTGCATATTCCTACTGCTTCTCTGAGCCCCCGGGCCGTTACAGAGGAGACAAACCATGCAGGAAACAATTCCACACACGCGGGATGGGGCGGGAGACGCGTGCGGGGATGGGGGTGGGGAGATGGGGAAAAAGAGAAACTCCTGAGCAATTCCTTAAAATACTACTTCCCTAATGTACTTTTTTTTTTTCCTCGTTTCCAGCTGTAAAGCTTAAGACAAGTTTGATCAGTAGCGCGATTTTGGAAGGTGAGTGCACAAATAAGTGTTCCGTTCACTTTAAAATTTAAACTTTATTATACTGTTCGCTTAAAAATTTAAACATACTTTCTAAACGGCTTTAACCGTGTCTAAGCCTCTTATGGGACAGTTAGATCGGCTTAAAGTGATTAAAGTCCAGTTCAGACTATGTAGGTGTTGCTTAACATAAAGTTTAGCTCAAACATTCCTAGCTTTTAAGGTTTTTGTTGCATTTTGGTTGCTTGAGGAAGGGAGGGAGAAGGTGATTCCTGACCATTTAAAAAGAAAAAAAGCTCTGTTCGTAAAACTCTGCAGAAAAGAAAAATCCTTGCTGAATTTGGGATGAGTAATGGCTCTCGAGGTCTTACTTGTGTTATGTGAAAAGAGGAAAATTAATCTTACTTTTCTAAATATTGCAGATACTGTATGGAAATAGCAGAAGAAAACAGATTTTTAGCGGGAGAGGGTGAGTATATTGGGAGAATCGGCCCAAATAATTAAAATGGGTGGTAGCTGAAGGCCAGTTCTTGCACTAATTAATTGGCTGGGAGCAGGGGTTATTTTAATTCGGTGGCTTTCCAGAGCATGTGCTTGTGCTGGGAAATGGCCACGTGTGTCCCGGGTCGCTTGGTGGGATGTGCAGCTCCCGGATTTTGGGGAGCGATGGAGCAGGACCTGGGGGCTGGGCACGTGTGTGTGAGATGCATGGGGGAAAAAAAACCAAGGGGGATGTGCTGGGATTGAATAAAAGGCAAGTGAAAAGCCAAGGGCTGGCTGGTCCAGCAGGAAGGTGCTGCTTTAGGGGCCCTCTAAAACTTCGGGAGGGGGGAGAGAGAGGGGGCGGAAGGAAAAAGCCACGTGCTCTCCTGCGGATCCGGACGTGCCAACCGCCCTCCCATCCAGAGGGAGTGCCAGCTGCCAGGGAAGCCACGCGCCGACCTCATGGGCCAAGGGCATTCCAGGGAAGCTGATCCTTGGAGGGGGTGGCGGCTCACGGGATGTGGGTGGGACCAGCAGTTTCTGTGTGTGTGTGTGTGTGCACCCTGAAATCAGCCCTGCTCGGTGCTGGTTCTAATTCTGTACTTAACCCGCAGTAGAGAATAAAATAAACTTGATTTGCTTTGGCTTGGTTTGTGTTTCATGGCGAGTGATCTGCTGGTTAATCCCTCAGTGTTAAAAGGAAACCTCTGATGCTCCTGATGAGTGTTTCTCACTTGGGAAGGTGGGATTCTGGTGTGGTGGTGTCCCTGTCTCCAAAAGGTGTAGAAAACCCTCTGTTTGGGCTGGATTAGGAGCAGGTAACCTTTAAATTTAGTTTAGGGTCATACCAAGGCACAAAAAAATCTTCAGGTATCATTAAGGGCTGAACCCAGATGGGTTTATGGAGCTGGGCCTCAAGGGGTCTGGCTTTTGGGGGCGGAAGGAGGGAGGGGGATCACAAATCCTGCACCTTGTTCTAAGGGGAGTGGGTTCTAAGTGGGTTTTGGGGAGGTTCTGCAGGAGTTGGTTAAAATACCCTCCAGCAGTTGCCTGCATATCCTGTCTGTGGCCATAAAACCCCCAGGGAAAGAGTCAGTGGGTGGATGCACCAGCCTGGGATAACATATTCCAGGGTTAAACCCCTCCCGAGAGGGTTTTCTGATGGCCTGGGCCCTGCAGGGCACCTTGGGATCAGTGAATCAGCTGAGGGTACAATTGAGAGTGTGGTTTCATTAAAAAGGGGCCATTAAATGCCAAAACGCAGTCCCTTGGTCTGGGACATCCCCAGGGCTGGATTTGCATGTTAACTGGAGCAAAATTAATCGGTGGAATGGAAAGGGAGAGATTTCATCCCGTTAGATAAGGGGAGAAACTTCACCCCAAGACACTCAGTCTGCTTCCTGCTTCAGGAATGGAAGTGGATTTTCCACATTAAACAGTGGGATGTTAGAAAAAGTGGGAGTAGCTCTGTCGCCTCAGCCCTGGCTTGGGGGCACCCCTGGGGTTCAGAGGCAGAATGAGTGATTTACACCCAACGGGATTTATTGCCTGGGGGACACGGATTCTCCCACGGGCAGCAGCTGCCAGCCCTGCTTTTCCTACCTGGCCTGGCCTCCCTCTCCTGTCCTACCTGCCTTGCTGCCCCATCTGCCCTGCCTGTCCTTCTGTCCTACCTGTCCCTCTGCCCTTTCTGTCCTGCTTGTTCTGTGCCACCTGTCCTCTCCTTCTGTCCCACCTTTACTTCTGCCCTGCTTGTCCTTTCTTTCTGCCCTGTTCCTCTCGTCCTGCCTGTCCTTTAGTCTTACGTACCCTTCTGTCCTGTCCCACCTGTCTTTCTGTCCTGCTTGTCTTTCTGTCCTGTCCTTTTTGCCCTACCTGTCCTTCTGTCCTGTCCCGTCCTGCCCGTCCTCCTGTCCAACCTGTGCTTGTCCTGCCCTACCCGCCCTCCTGTCCCGACCTTTCTGTCCTTCTCCTTGTCTGTCCCACGTGTCCTGCCTGTCATTCTGCCCTGTCTGTTGTCCTTCCTGTCCCATCCCACCCGTACATCTGTCCAGCCTGTCCCCGTGTCCTGTCCCGTCTGTCGCTCTGTCCCCTCCCGGCTCGGTTTGTCCCTGCCCGTTGCCCTCCGGCCGGCAGGGGGCGCTGCTGCGCGCGGAGCCGGCCGCGCGAGGCGGCGGCGCATGCGCAGGTCGGCGGGCGGCGCGGTGAGGGAGCGGTGGCGGCGCCGGGCCGGGAACGGGATCGGGATCGGGATCGGGAGGACGGGATAGGCACACGGGCACGGCGGGCGCGGGGGGTGCCGGGCCGGCCCCGCCGCGGCAGGGCGGCTCGAAGGGACAGCGACGGCCCGCGCCAGGAGAGGCCGGGCCGGGCCGAGGCCTGCGCGGCCCCCCCACGTGAGGCGGCGGCGCGGGGAATTCGAATGGCGGGAAGGGGCTGGGATGGGGGGCCTCGGGGGTCGGGACGGGGGAGAGGGACATGGGCATGGACATGGCTCGGCTCGGGTAATGGGGAGCTCGCGGGGTGATGCTGCTTCTGGCTGCTCCTCGTCTCCCCTTTCCCTTTCCCGTCCTCCTTTCCTCCTTCCTTTTCCCTTTCCCCTTTTCTTCCCCCTTTCTGTTTTCCCCTTCCCTTCTCTTTCTCCTTCGCTTCCCTTTCCCTTCTCTTTCTCCTTCCCTTCCACCTTTCCCTTCCCTCCCTGCCTGCCTGGACCTGACAGGGTGAGGATAGGAGTGCAGACCAAACCTGCAGGGAACAACCCTCCATTCTCCCAAAGTGGGAGCATGGATCAGTTCTCAAACCCCAGCTCATTCCCCAGCCCCTCAGGTGGCTTTTAGGGCAGGAGGGGACACGCCAAACACCCCCAGCCCCGTGGGTGACCCCTGTTTGCGGCCTTTAGGTCCCACCATGCCGGGGAAACGCACCGCCAAGAACCCGGCGCCGGAGGAGGAGCCTCTGGAGAGGAAGAAAATTAAAGGTAAGGAAAACCCTTGGGGGGGGGGGGTTCCCCTCCCCTTTCCCCAGGGATGAGCTTTGCCAGGAGGGCTGTACCCCTAACCCCTGTGTGTTCTCTCTCCCCACAGTCAGCCACCCGTCGCACCGCACGCAGCCCGGGCTGGTGCTGACCCTGGGCCAGGGCAACGTGGGCCAGCTGGGCCTGGGAGAGGACATCATGGAGAGGAAGAAGCCAGCCCTGGTGACCCTGCCGGAGATGGTGGTGCAGGTGGAGGCCGGAGGGATGCACACGGTGTGCCTGGGCCAGACGGGCAAGGTGGGTGTGCTGCAGGGGGGCTGAGCTTCCCCCCGAGCTCTGGGGGTGTTCTGGGCCAGGGGGTTGGTTGGGCACTGCTCTGCTCGTGCCTTGTCACGGCTCTGGGGTGAGTGTGGTCTCACGTGGACCGTGAAATTTTAGGGGGTCAGAGGGAGTAACTGAAGGGAGCTGGAGGGAGACTTTGGACAAGAGAAACAGGACAAGGGGGAACGGCTTCACACTGACAGAGAGTGGGTTTAGATTGGATATGGGGAAG